CCAGCTCATTTTTTCTTTAGAAAGTTCTTTCATTGTTAAGAGCTCACATGTTTGAAAATGTTTTTCCACATTCAAAATTTGGCTGGATTCAGAATTCTGATGTGACAATCATTTTCCTTTGGGTTTATAACATTACAGTTTCTTCTCTTTTCCAGTACTACTACTACTACTTGAAAAATCCAATGCTATTCCGATTCCCGTTTCTTTGGATGAAACCTGTTTTCTTCACTCTGTGAGCTTTTCCCCCCCTCTCCTGTAAGCTTTTAATAGCTCCTTTTGTTCTCATTTTTTTTAGAACTTAATTCACTTTATTTGTTATAGAAAATCCACTATGTAGTGGCCACAGCTGGAGCCTGAGTCCTCTGCACGGAGACTCTGGTGTGAGTCTTTACAAGATTATCTGTGAATTCCTGGTAGGGAGACTTCGTGAACACCGTCTCTTTCCAGAGATCTGGGGTCAGATAGCTGTAGGTCATGGCGATGGCATCAAAGGTGGCCTTAGCAAAGTTGCCCAGGGTAGCTGTGCAGCCCCTGGCTTTGGTGTAACAGTCATCAATTCCAGCCATCATCAACAGCTTCTTAGGCACAGGGGCTGAGAGGATTCCAGTGCTTCGGGGTGCAGAGATCAGACGCACCAACACAGAGGCACAGCGCCCAGTCACCTTGCAGGGAATGGTGTGAGGCTTGCCAATCTTGTTCCCCCAGTAGCCACGCAGCACAGGGACGATGGAGAGCTTGGCTAGAATGATGGCCCCATGGATAGCTGTAGCCACCTCCTTGGAGCACTTGACGCCCAAGCCAACATGGCCATTATAGTCTCCGATGGCAACAAAGGCCTTGAACCTGGTCCGCTGGCCAGCACGTGTCTGCTTCTGCACTGGCATGATTTTCAACATTTCATCCTTGAGGGACATGCCCAGGAAGAAGTCGATGATCTCAGATTCCTTGATGGGCAGGGAGAAGAGATAAATCTCCTCCAATGATTTAATCTTCATATCTTTCACCAGGCGGCCCAGTTTGGTGATGGGGAGCCACTCCTTGTCCTCTGCTTTGCCTCCTCGAGCTCTGCGGCCCCTCCCACGGCCCCGTCCATGGCCGCAGCCCTGACCCCGCAGACCGCTACCGAAGCCTCCGCTGAAACCGCCGCGGGCTCCCATCCCAGGGCCCCCAGGGCCTCCCGCTGCACCAGCGTCATCCGCCACTTGGTGTTTTCTCAAAGAAGTTGTTCTCATTTTTACGTATGGTTCTAGTCAAAGAACAAAACAGAAGGGCCCTTGGGCAGCCATGGTTGATATTCTTTTAGCCACGTGGTCTGGAAGGGCAGCAGGGCAGAGAAATTAGGGGTAGTGATAAGTGAGGAGAGGAAGTCATCAGACATGGGATTTTCATCACAATTCCACTTGCTTCCACGCATTTCTGAACCACTATGAATTCTATCAATTCTGCCTGACATTTTCCCACCTGACACTTTTGTTATGTGTCATCAAGTCACCTGTGACTCAACAGTGATCCTATCCTATGCACAAGTTCTGAACCCAGTCCTATTCTGAGCCAGTCTCACTGTCTCCGACATACCTATCCCTATTACCCCAGTTATTGTGTCAATCCATTTCATCCGAGGTCTTCCTTGCTTGTGCTGTCTGTCCCTCCACCCTTTCAAGCATGATGTACTTCTCCAAGGACTGGTCCCTCCTGGTGATGTGCCCAAGGTATGTGACACAGAGCTTCAAAATCCTTGCCTCCAAGGAGAAATGTGGTTTTACCCTGTCAAGTACAGACTTGCTTGTTTTCTTGGCAGTCCATGGTATGTTCAAGACTCTTCTCCAGCACCACAACTCAAAAGCATTGATTCTTCTTCTGTTATCCTTAGTCATTGTCCAGCTCTCTGATATTTTGGTGTTGAAAAAAACTGTTTTTATAAAATTGAATTTTCAAGGGCAGAATATTCAGTGAAGTCTTCAATTATTTTTTTAAGTGGATTCTAAGGGTTTCTACTTCTAAATGCAGACAAGTATGCCCATTTATCCTCATCCTTTGTTTCTTAGTTCTAAAATGGTATAAAAACCAGATCTTAAATTACCTTCAGTCCCTTCAGTAATGGCACTTCTAATAACCAATTTGTGTTTTCTGGGTGTATTTACCACGGAAATAGACACAGACTGGTTATATGTCATCCAGTTGAATTATTCAAGTTTATTTGTTTCAAAACACTGACAAATGCACACCACATTTAATCACTTTTTCTCCTTCCGTGCACCTAAGACACAGATTCACAGGAGTCAGGTTAGCTTAAACAGGAGGATTTTCTTAAAGAACACGTGCTCTCTCACACACACACACACACGCGCACACACACAAGAAGGCGATACAAGAACGTAACCCCACCAAAGTGCATACGAATGAAAGTGCAAAGAGGCTCCATTGCCCAACTTTGGGTTCATTCTCTCAGCTTCAGAAACTAAACAGAAAGGTCCTTCTGCCCTGGACCAGGGCTGGACTGGGCAGCTGGGCAAGAGCTGGGTGAGGCTGAAGGGGAGGGCAAAGTTTAAGTTTGAAGAGCAGGGCAGAGGGCACATGGGCACCAGGAACCACCAACTCCCTCCCTCCTGGCTCTCCTCAGGTCAAGGTGCAATCATTTCATTTGGAGACAGGGTGCGGGCAGAGGGGGGTGGGGGTTGGAAGGGGAGTAGGATGGATAGAAGGCAGATTTCTTGCTATTTCATAGGATTTGGTTTCTTTCCAAAGAGATTGACCTGTGTGCAAAAAGTGCTGAGGCCTCAAAGCTTGGAGGCCACTGGTCCCCGTTGCCTTTTTTTTTTAAATTTTATTATTTTTGTGTGAGTGTACCGTCAAATCAGATCTGACTGATACAGGAGGAGATTGTCCCTCCTTCCCCGGCAGAGCCTCTGGTGGATTCGAACAGTGCGCCTCTAGGATTGGAGTTGCAGCTCCTTGCCACTAGGCCACCAGAGCTCCCCTCCACGTTGCCTTTCTCTTTGCCAAGAAGCATCAAGAGGCATGGTTGGCAAAAGAACGTGGCAAAGCCCCTCTCCTCAGAAGCGAGTGTGGCAGCACAGCTCCAGCGTGGGTACCTGCTGCTTACATCACACCACAAGTGAATGCTTCCTCGTTGGCAGAAGAGGTCAGAGAGCAAGAAGCTGATGAGCTTTGCGGCTACTCAGGCAACCAAGATAATGGTTCAGATTTGTTCTTCTTAAGTCCTGGTCAAGTGAGTCACAGCGTACCCTCTGCAAACCCAGTGCCCATTCTGCGGCTTGCCCAGTGTCCTTCAGGGAACATTGTGCTCAGAGCTGCCTCGAAAGGCTGAGAGAGGAGGATCATGGGAAGCCTTGTATGGACTTCAGCTGGGGGGGCTGACTGTCTACCCCAGCAGAGCTGTGTGGGTCCATTCCAGAGGAAGGCCCCGCTAGGCTGTGGCAGGAAATCAGCAGAGCTTTGGGTTTCTCAATTCTAAGGGAAAATTAAGGTTTCCTATTTTAACAGTAGCCCTTGACATTTATTTTCCCAACTCCGAGCCTTAAAGCGGCACCCTGTCCAACACTTAGGTCAGTGTCCTCCACACACCCACACGCACACACAAACACATATCACGTGACTAAGAGAGGGGTCAGTGGTAAGACCACATGGCCCCACCTACACCCGTGGGCCCACCTCAGCACCTGGACCACAGCAGGCTGGCGACTCTTCCTCAGCTCCACGTGGGGTTGGCTCCTGCCAGGCTCTCTGGCCCTTCCCACCCAGGCAAGGGCCCGGGAGAGCAGGTTTGGCAGTGGCTCAGGGGAGGCTGGGCCCCCCACCTGGACAAAGAGGTCCAGGTCCCAGATGCAGAGGGACGTGGCTGGCAGTGCAAGACTGGGGGAGAGTAGAAAGAAGGCCTGCACAGGCCCTGGGAAAATTCAGGGATAGAAAAGTCCGCCTTCTCAACTTCAAGTAGCTTCGTTAAGATTCCTCACAAGTAAGCAGCAGGGATTGAAGGGACAGGCTGAATGTGACCTGATGGTGTGTGCCTGCCAGTCAAGAGTGCCACATTCCCCTGACAGGAGGTCTGGCGGGCATGGGACCCTCACCCTGTGTAACCACGCCGTGGCTGGGATCCATGGCTATGCCCAGCTTTGGGAGCTACCATCCCAGCTGGAGCAGCACCCCCTTCCCCACAGCCAAAGACCCAGAGATTGTCTGATGCGCCCTTGGACTAGTGACCTACTGGTCACCTCCTCCCCGGGCCCAGCACAGGTGTAAGTGTGGGGAATCAGTGAAATCTTAACCCCTGCCAGCTGTCAACCAGACTCTGACCACTTCCTCTGCCTGGAACCGATACTTGGCATCAGACACTGAAATGTCAAGTGGTCCAGAACTGGGTACGTTCAAAGACGGCATCTTGGCCCAGCCAGAGCCCTTTAACAGATCCGAAGGAAACATGTTCCCGAGGACCCTGGCTGAGGGGACTGCCCGGAGAAGCAGGCAGAAAAAGAGCTGCAGAACCAGATGACAGAAAAAGAGGGCGGTGTCTTTATGACTAAATACGTGCGCAGCAGGGTCCATCTCCTGGTAGAAGGCCAGGAGGAAGGAGAGAAAGAGTGTAACGATGCCAACCAGATTAAAAGGCCTCCGCTGGAGGACTCTCCCTCTGTCAGACTGGCCTAAACTGCTAAGGTCAAGACCCTTTGATGAAAAAACACATCGGCTGGAGATGTGGGGCTGCCCAGGGAGGGCACTTCCATACTCCTCCACCAGTCATGTTTCCTGTGGACCATTAGACCCTCACCATCGTGCCTGGGGACAAAGAAACTAGACTCCGCTTTCCCCAGGGCTCCTCAGCTCCCACAGATCTCCTGGGACGCCACCCCGGAGAGGAAGCCCAACCCTGCTCAGCTATGGAGGTGGAGTGTGGGGAGAGCCCGGTGATGATATGAGGAACTGGAGAGAGGAAGGAAGCATCGGCTGGCGAGGAAGGGCTCGCGAGGCCGGCCCTGAGCCAGTCACTTTAAGGAGTCGTCGGCGTTTTTGAACATGAGAATGGAGTTATAAATCTTCAAGGCTGGGCCCAGCTTGACACTCATGATCTTCACAATGTCCGCCTGTGTCAGCAAAAGGAAGGCCTCGCCGTCAATCATCTGAGGGGCCGGGGGAGGGAGGAGGAAAGTGGAGAAGGTGGAAAGGGTCCCGGGGAATGGGTGAAGGCAAGGTGGGGTGTGCAGGGGGCGTGGTGGGAGGGCAGAAAGAGAAGTGGAGTGAAGGGTACGTGGGGGGAGCAAGGAGCAGGGACAAGGGAGAGGAGGAAGGAGAAAGGAAAAAAGGAAGACAGCAGTGGGGACAGAGAAGAAAAGCAAAAATTCCACAGGTTTCCCCTTGTTCTCTCTCTCTCTCTCTCTCTCACACACACACACTCACTCACTCTTTCTCCTTTCCCATTGACTCAATGTTTCTATCTGCAAAATGTCTTGAGTTCTCAGTGACAGGAGCTTCGAGAACTCTGCCACTGCTGTCCTCACATGAACCCACGAGTCAATCTTAGTGCTGCTGTGTGACACGCAGACACAGCCGTATTCAGGTGTGACACTACTCAAGGACACAATATTACCTGTGGGCTATTCCTTTTGCTGAAAATAGAGGCAAAGTGAAGGTCAATCTCACCTAGCCTCTCTCTGTATCTATCTCCCAGCTGATGGGAATAGAGATCGAGACAGTGGAGGAACAAGTTAGGGGTTGACACAGGAAGGAACCAAAACTTGAAGGGTGCAGTCTTCAAGACCTTTTTATAAGGTCATGAGGGTGGGGAGGAAGAAAAAGGAGAAAAGACTTTCGTTCCTACTAGAGAGAAGATATTGAAGAACAATAAGGTAGCATATGGGCCTTCTTTGCATCCTGGTTCAGAATCACCAACCACAAAAGATACTTTGGTGACTGCTGGAAATATGAATACAGTCCGAGTTCAAGGGGATACACAGTTAATAGAATTATAGTCAAGGTGCTAGCTGAGCTAATGGTACTTCAGTTATGTGGAGAAAGGCCTTAGTTTTTAGAGCTGCCTGCTAAATTTCTCAGAAGTAAAACATCATGACACCTATAATTTAGTTAGAGCCCCTTCATCCCAAAATGTTGTTGTTGTTAAGTGTTGTTGAGTCAGAATCAACTCGCAGCTGGGCCTCCAGGGGATTTTCACAGTCCTTACACAGCAGAAGCTGCTCCCCTTTTCTCCTATGGAGCAGCGGGTGGATTCAAATCCATGTGCCTTTGGGTGTGCGGAGTAACTCCTTACCCACCAGGGAAATGTTGATAATTGTGACTTCGAGGGGAGAGGTGTGCAGGTAAGAACAGGGGGAGAGAAAACCTGTTGGAGAGGAGGGAGGGGGAGTAAAGAGAGCTGGGGTGGGAGCTATAGGTCTAAGCAAGGTAGGCTGGGCTGTGCTGGTCCCAATGCTGGTATGAAGAACCCCCTGTCTGATTTCTGTGAGAGTGACCATCAACTCAATCCTAGCAAATAAAACACTTCAATGGTACTCCTTCAAAGGCTCAAGTGTATCAAAGATGACGAGGATGGCACAGGATAAGGAAGGGTTCAGATCTGCTGTTCACAAGGTCTCTAAGAGTCGTACTTGACTCGATGGTATCTAACAACAGTACTTCTCATATACCCAAGCTCTGTCTTAGGCACTTCAATCCGCCTCCTCCCTTACTGTCTTGCTTTACTCTCAGACCCTCTGTGACACCCCTCGCAGTCCAAAAGCGTCTCCACTCTTTTTAACTGTTGCTTATTTGTATCACGGATCATGCGAGACCAGGATAGAAAATAGTTGTTCCTGGGAGACACAGCCCTCCTCCAACCAATGGGAGAACGGGCCAAAGATGGGCTGGAGGACCAAGCTCTTCAGTGGGTGTGCAGCTGGCCGGCACTCAGAGAGAGTTGATTTACGGCCTGTTGCCAGCCAAAAGGAAACTCTCTAACCGGTACCACAGCTTAGCTCTGTCTTGTTAAAGACTTGGATGAAGATACAAAAGGCTTATTAACATTACAGATGGTAGAATTGGGATTTAAGACAATGAGACTATGAAACCAACAAGACAAGAGTTAATGAGGATAAATGTAAAGTTTTACAGGAGTTTAGAGAGAAAATCCAGTGGGTACACACCGAAATACCTGGTGTGAAGTTGATGTCAAAGCACTTGGGGGCAGGTGTCTCATGAATTCCAAGCTCGTGTGATGTGGTTATAGTAAAGTTAGTTACAAACTTATGTTTTGCTTAGAAAAATACAGGGTTCAAACTCAGAAAAGAGAAAACTAGCCAAGTGTCTATCAACAAGAGAACTATGGTTTAGTCATAAAATGAAATACTACTCTGCAAGAAAAATTATCTAATGTATTGATGCCTTTGAGCTGTGGTGTTGGAGAAGAGTACTGAATATACCATGGACTGCTAAGAGAACAAATAGGTCCATTCTGGAGAGGGTGAAATTAGGCTACTCGTTGGAGGAAAGGATTCTGAAGCTCCATCTGACATACTCTGGGTGTGTTGCAAGGAGTGACCAGTCCTTGAAGAGGGACATTGAGCTTAGATGAGTGGAGGGACAGGGCAAGAGAGTAAGACTCTAGATGAGATGGATAGACTCAGTGACTGGGGTGATGGGGGTAGGTGTGTTGGAGACAATGAAATTGGCTCAGGAAAGACCAGGGTTCGTGGAGTCACTGTGAGTCTCAGACGAGCTGATGGCACATAACAAACCACCACCACCACCCATGGTCATACGGATGAACCTCAAAAACTTTACATTGTGAAAAAGACATGACATAAAAATAATACGTGGTCCATGATTCATTTCATTTATATGCGGGAATTTAAGAACAAGTAAAACTAATCTATGGTGCTAAAAATTAGAACAGTAGTTGTGTAGAGTGCTGGTGACTGACTAAAAAGCACCAAGAAAGAGCTTTCTGACATAATAGTAATGTTTTATATCTTAGTTGAAGTGTCGGGTTCAGGGTGTAGATGTTTGACAAAGCCTGTTTTCAGAGGCAGCTAATCACACAGGAGAAAACTGCCCATACTTCTCCTACGGAGCAGCTGGTGGATTTGAACTGCATATCTTTGGAATTGTAGCAGAGCTTCTTGTATATTTTATCTCAGTTTAAAACACCTAAGAAACAGTAGTCCAGCAGGTTCTGTGTTGGTGAGAAAAATCTCAAACATAAGATTAAAGTCTGGATATGCATACTTCGATAAAAAGACTGTCACTTGTCATGAATTGGACTGTGTTCCTCAAAGATACAGGTATATAAAAATAAATTAAAAAAATATGTATGTATCTGAAACAAGGGGTGCATTGTGGGGTGGGCTAAGGGAAGAGGCAGGGGAGGGAGGGAAAGAAAATGTGTAACAGGGAAAAAAATACATGTACATAAAGATATAATATAAAAGCTGTATCATGAGCTCCCATGTTCTGATAAACTAAATAATTATGAGAGGATTATGGGTCGAATGTGACATCCCCTAATATCATCACACCCCTGATAAGTGTAGGGGAGGTGTGTGTGTGTGTGTGTGTGTGTGTGTGTGTGTGTGTGTATATATATGTTGTTGTTAAGTGCTTGGCTGCTGTCTGAAAGGTCAGCAACTCAAATCCACCCGCTGCTCCATGGGAGAAAGATCTGAGAGTCGGCTTCCGTTACGATTTCCAGCCTTTAGCCGAGGCAGTTCTGCCGTGCCCTGCTGGGTCAGTAGGAACTAGAACATACTCAACAGCAATGCGTACGCAATTAAAAACGAGAACTATGAGGGAGCTCTGGTGGCCTAGTGACAAGAAGCTGTGCTGCAATCCTGAAGGTGCATGGTTCAAATCTACCAGATGCTCTGCTGGAAAAGGAGGAACCAATCTCCTCCTGTGCTAGTCGAATCTGATTTGATAGTACACAACAAGGAAAAAAAAACCAATAAAAAAACTAGAATTATCATTTACTCAGCTCCCATTGCTCCAGCCATCTGAGTCTAATGCTATGATTAATTATAGAACATTAAAATATTATTTATTACGTAATGATATGATGATATATTGCTATATATTAATGTTATAATCCAGTTCTTAGGTGTCATTGAGTTGACTACAACTCATAGTGACCCTATGAACAACAGATTGGAACCCTGCCCTATTCTGTGCCATTGACATGTTCTGTATACAGTACTGATGTGAATTATACTAGGATTAATTATACCAGGCATTCTGCGAGAACGAGATTTGCATCATTTTCAGTATTTACAACAGCTCGGGGAGGTAGCTATTACTACATCCCTTTTATTGCCTGTGTTGTCATGGAGCTCTGGCTTGCTAACCAAAAGGTCAACAGTTCAAATCCACCATGGGAGATAGATGGATAGTCTACCACTGTAAAGTTTTATAGCCTCAGAAATATGATGGAGGGCCTTTATGTGCCCTAGATTATTTGAAAACAGAAGGTTCTGTTGCTGTTGGTCACTGAGTCAATTTCACCTCATAGCAATCCTACGTGACGGTGACCATGACCGAGTCACATTGCCTCACAGGATTTCCTGGGCTGTAATCTTTAAGGAAAATCACTGGAGCTGCTTGGTGGATTTAAACCACTAACCTTTCAGTCAGCAAGTAAGTACTAAACCATTGCACCACCAGGGCTCCTTATATCTCCACTTTACCGACGATAGAATGCCCAGAGACCGTAAATGGCCCAAGCTGGCAAAACTGGGACTTAAACCCAGACTTCCCCTACAGCTAGGGAGCTCTGGTGGCCTAGTGGAAAGGAACTGCACTGCAATCCACAAGGCACACAGTTCCAAGCCACCAGCTGCTCTGTGGGAGAAGGATAGACAGTCTCCTCCCGTGTGATTAACTGCCTCTGAAAACCCAAAGCAGGGTCTGTGTATGGGTTGGTTCCCACTCGACAATAACAAAAGCAACTCACTGCTTCATATCTTCGGTAAGCCCTTGTCTTTAAGTGTGCCTTAGGATCTTTGGTATAAATAGCTTGTGTCCTTTAAAATATGCCTTATTTAGTGAGTGTCAGTGATGAAACTACGGTTGGGAGAGACTGGGCCAGTGCAGGGGAGTGAACAGAACTCTGTCTCCATAATGGGCTTCCTCAGTGGCGATGGTCTGCACACAGGTTCCCTGCTCTGCGGGCCACAGGCCACACCAGACCTTTTCTCAGAAATGTGAATCGCTAAGACTAGTTTCATCCAGATGGGAAAAAAGGCCCCGCGCTGGCTGGGGGCAGCATTGGTGGGCCACAGTCACACCTCTCTGTCTCCCACTCTACACACACACCCACACACCCCTTACCTCATCTTTGAAGAGCCGTGCTTGGTCCTCACAACCTGTCAGAGTCTGAACAAAACCGAAGACCTTGGAAACCAAAGAAGACATGTTGACAAGGAGGCCTGGGGGGCGGGAGAGGCTGGTCGACTTGACCTTGGCGCCTTTTGAGCTGTGACTAGAGTTGTGTTTTAGTGTTCGCCTAAGAGGATCCCGAGTCTCTGTGTGTTAGTGCTGAGTATGAAAGGTGTAGTTCTTGGTCCTGTAGTCAGTAACACTTCCTACTCCCCACCCATCAGGATGGACCCATGAGCCCTTCTGGGCAGCCAGAAGGAACTGTGGCATCTAGAAGGTGCTGTGGCATTTAGAAGGTACTGTTGCAGCAGAGATGAGCAGAAGGTGGTGGTCTTGAGCCCTCTACCAGGGTGTAGGGAGAGGGAAGAGGAAGAGGAGAAAGGGCCCTGATGCCTCACCTCATCAATGGTCCACTTGGCAACCGCTGAGGCTGAGATGCCCGCCACTCCCGGAAGCAGCTTGCAGTGCTGCTCCCAGCACACAGACAGTGAACGGTCCGGGTGGGCTGACAAGGCCGACATGAACAGGGACTGGTGCATGACGTCGGTGGACAGGGCTGGAAGGCAGAGGCAGAGGCTGGCGGGCCAACACAGTGCACTAACCCCATTCCTAAGGCTGGTTCACAGCCAGGCAGCTGGGTCTGCTAGTTGGCAGAGTGGACAGGACAAGGGTCCTCTTTCCAAGAGGGGTCCTTGCAGAGTCGTGGCTGTGTTCCCTATCCCCTCCATCCTGACCCCTACCTAACAGGTCAGATGTGTGAAGTGATTCTCCTTCTGTGTCTCGAAGCCTGTAAGATTCTGAAGGAAAGGTCCCCTCACTCTGAGCTCTGCAGAATCCCAGCAGGCACCATTCTCTACAGACCTAACATCAGAATGACCCCCCACATTCAAACAATCTCAGCTGTGACACTGGAAATCCATTCTTGTTTGTCCTTCTTTCCCTAAATCCTTTTGGGACCAACTTTCTCATGCTATGCAGTCTGAAAGTGACCTTGAACTCCAGTTTCTACCCCCTCAGCTCCATGAGCCTGGCCTGGGTCAGGTCTACTCAGGCAACTAGAAGGTAATCCTGTGCTCGCTTTGGCAGCACATATGCTAAAATTGGAACGATACAGAGAAGATTAGCATGGCCCCTGCGCAAGGATGACACGCAAATTCCTGAAGCATTCCATTTTTTTTAAAAAAAATATTTTAATGAGCATTTACAGAGATTTTGGATTTCCATTCATTCATTGCTGCACTTCTCTCCCCGCCCAGCCCTCCCCGCCTCCCCCAGTTCGCTCCTCTCTTTCAAAAGTAAAAGAAACACTCCCTCCCTGGTACACAGTCCCCCGCACCTCTTCCACCACCCCAAGTACATTCCACTATGCAACCTTAATTGTGGACTCTTGTGGCGTTCCATTTTTTTTAAAAAAAGAAGAAGAAGAAGGTAATCCTTCTTACCAACTCCATGCCCCCACCACTCTGCTTCCAGATCTGTTTCTAGAATCCCTGGGTCCTGACATCCAAGAGACAAGGATCAAATCCTCCCTGGATCTGACGTTGGACATCGCTCTGCTCAGCTTCTTCCTAAGCCTGGACTCGCACCCACTAGGGCCACATTCACCTCTAGCTGATCTGACAAATCTGCCCCCCAGACACTCCTACCAGGCTTGGTACAGGCTACATTTGATCACTGCCCCATGGGGCTTGCTCAGCTACTGACCATAGTCCAGGAGAGCTGGTTCTTACTTGGTCTAATTACAGACACTGGTGGATACAGCACCTCAGCTGTCTTTATATCAAAAGGCCGCCCCTAACTCATCACAGACTGACCCCTCCACCCTGACCCTCCTGCACCTCCTTTCTCAGCACTTCTGGCAACCCATCGCCAGCCCCGATCATGGATCTTCCGTTACCCTGTCCGCTTGCTGTCTTCTCTGCTCATCAGTCCAAACCTGAGGACCTGATCCACCTCGGAGAGCTCCACCTTCAGAATCACCAAGCACCCTGCCTGCTCTGCACAGCTCAACCATTCCCTCCCATGACCAGTCTGGGGCCCGTCCAAATCACCTGTGCAAATCACCATCAGCAACCTTCTTATCCACCTGGCCACACATCTGGCCTCTCATGCACCCCGGGGCTCCCTCTCTGAAGCCCTTTGGTCCACCCTATGCCTTGGTGTGGGGTTTGGGCTGCTGGGGAACAAGCTGGTAGGCAGCTTCCCTCCTTTATCTTTCTTCTCCGGGGCACACGACAGAAGCTCTCACATGCAGTTAACATCTCTTATCTAACTTAGAAGTCAGAACATCTAGTTTTGTCATATGATTCCAAAGGCCCTCCCATCAGTGGAGTGAGCACAGTTCCCTCCAAGCAGCCTTCTCCATGAAGCAGACCAGAAAACTCGATTCAGAGGAGCTCTACACTGGGTCTAAGAAGACAGACACTTCTAGAACAAAGCGTGGAGTGACCAGTGTTCCTCTGTGAGGTAAACTGGTGAAACAGGAGATTCCTGACGGATCTGGACTCTCACCTGCCTGACTTGAGCAAGCTCTTCCCCCACCTCTCTGAGCTACCACCTCAAGCGGAAGGACTTCTTTCCCAAGACTTCCACAGTGTAATTCAGAATGAACACACTAGACAAATGCCCTCTGGTGGTCACAACTTTGCCCTACAATGGAAGCCAATTGGAATGCCAAGGTTAAGTTAAGAGAGGTACCAGAACAGAGCAAGACTGAGGGCTCTGGAGGTGGAAACAGAGCAAATGTCAAACCACAACTGGAGAGATTGAGAAAATTGTGGTACATTCACACAATGGAATACTATGCAGCACTCAGGAGTAACGATTCAAAAAATATTGCATAACTTGGGAGAGACTGGAGAGTATTATGCTGAGTAAACAAACCCAGTCTCACTGGGACAAATACTGCAAAAGACCATTATTGTAAAAATAGAAGGATAACTAGTACAACATGTATGTAAACCCAAGGTGGGGGGATGTGGGGAACTGGAGGGAGTGAGGGTGAGTAGAAGTGAAACCACAAGGTTGCACACTTTGGTGGGTGGAGGGAGGGGGTGAAGCAAACGAGAAGGATCTGGGTGAAAAGACAGGGTAATGATGGGCAAGTCCGATGGTGATTACGTGTATAAAACATAATGCATGAGAAGGATTGTATGAAACACAATGTGAATGAGGAATAGTGTGAAACACAATGTACATGAACTCTGTAAGCAAACCGACAACAACAACAAAAAATTTAAAAAAATAATAAAAAGAGAGAGGTACCAGGAGTGTTTGCTCAGAGGGACCCAAAAGCAGGACAAGACCCTTATCATTCAGGCCTAAGGCTGTTTCTGTCAACAAGAATCAAGAGATTAGGAATATTCATTCCAGCAAGTAGCTACGCTTAAAGGGGGTTCTGGTGGTGCAGTGCCTAGGGTGTTGTGCTGCTAATTAAAGGCTGTGTATCTCCAGAGATTCAAATCTACCAGGGGTTTTTGTGGGAGAAATATGGATCACCTCCTTCGTGTTATCTTTACAATCCCAGAAACCCAGTGGAGGGTCTTTACGCATTAGAACTGACAGGATGGCAGTGAATGAGGGAGGGAGCACTCATTCCGACCGTCCCATCTCTCCCCTTGAAAGGTTACAGCCGCAGAAACCCAATGACAGGTTTACCATGAGTTGGAATTGAACCGACAGCAGTAGTTTGGTTTTGACAACTGCTGGCAACAACAACAAAATAGGACAAGGTGCAACAATGAATGAATGAAAACCCCAAATCTCTGTAAATGTTCATTAAAATGAATAAAATTTAATTAAAAAAAATAAAAATAGGACAAGGATGCGTCGGTGGTATAGTGGTTAGAACAGCTAGCTTCCGCCACAGCCAGAACATGGAAATAGGCCAAGGAGTCCCAGTGGCAGCGACTGTAAATCCTAATCAGAAGACATCTGCCCATCTTTCTCCCAAGGAATTCAAACCATGAATCTTTCAGATGGCAGATCAACATGCGATGCACTACGCCATGCAGGGCGCCACTGGCTACAGTAGAAGCTCAGTTGCAATTGCAGTTACTACTATTTCTTCCAATAGATGCCTTTGGGAGGTGGTGCTGGAGAAGAGTGTTGAACATACCATGGACTACCAGGAAAACAAAGAGGTCTGTCTTGGAGAGGGTGAAACAATGTCTCTCTCCTTGGAGGCTAGAATTTTGAAGCTCCATCTCACATACTTTGGATATGTGGCCAGGAAAGATGGGTCCTTGGAGAAGGACATCATGCTGAGGAAGACCCCAGATGAGATGGATTGATACAGTAACTGGGGCAGTGGGGGCTGGTATGTCAGAATTAGTGAGACTGGCTCAGGAGAGGGAGGGGTTCAGAAATGCTGTATATAAGGTCATTATGCATTGCACGTGACCCAATGGCACATAACAACAATAACATACTATGACATATTTGGAAGCAGGAGTGGCATCCACTTCCTAAATAACATGCCTCCGGAAACTCTATGAATTTGATAAATGGCGATAGTTTTTAGAAGGGCTTCAGGCCTTTTGTTCATAGGGTCGCTACGAGTCGCGCTCAACTCGAAGGCAATCAACAACAACAACAACTATTTCTTCCAGGAAGTTGACTTATGTTTTCAAATGACAATCAGAGCTGTTAAGTGATTTGCCCAACCAATGTCAGACAGACAGCTGTGAAGTGACAACCACAGCCTCCTTCCCCAAAATCCTAGAATCAGAGAAGAGCGGAGCCAGGGGCCAACCTTGTGCTTCACAGTGGAGAACCAGAGGCCAGAGAGGCTCCTGTTTGCCCCACAGATTCACTTCAAGGCCAGAGAAGAACTTGACTCTCACTTACTTTGTTGAACCCAGAGGCCATGTCCATGGTCTCTGAGAGAAAGAGAATTAATTCTCAAGGAGATCAAATGATATGAGCATGTTGGGTTAGTGGGAAGTAACTGTGCAGCCAAAACAAAGGTATGTGATTTGAATCCACCAGATGTTCCACAGGATAAGAATTTGAGCAATCACCTTTTGTACAATTTATTGCCTCTGAAAACCTGCTGGAGGGTCAGCTAAGGGTTGGTTCCAAACCGACGGTACACAATAACAACAACTACAACAACATACCTAAGAAGCCAGGCTCTACTCTACCACCCAAAGTCTCTCAAATGAAGAGGCAGCCACCCATCCGTCTTCTCCCACTCTGAGCTGCCCTGGTCACTCACCCCATCAGTTACAGAGCACCCACAACAGAGGACTTAGGGGTATATGACCCAGAACTTACTCTGGAAATCTTCCTGTGGGATCTTCCGATACTTTGGAGGGCGTCCGATCCTGGAGAGAGAGGAGCCACGTCCAGAGCAGGAAATCAGTGCCTGGTCTTGGCCAAGAACACACGAGGCACTGAACCCAGGGAAGCCCAGGCCGACTCCCAGCCCTCCGCACCGGCCATGATGGCGAGGCTTTTTCCTTGAGGAGAAGCCCGACAGGTTCCTCTTCCGAGCTGAGGCCTCTGAGTCGGACAGCTCTGCTTTCAGCCGGCTCTGGTTCCTCTCAGCCAGCGGACAGCCTGAGAGGCAATGGTGAGCCGTGAACTTGCCTGTGACGTGGCCAGAGCCGTCACAACCAGGAGTCGGGCACTTCCTGGAGAAAAAGGCATCAGTTGGGCTGGATGAGCTTGGCCCCTTGCCCCCACTGAGCCCTCCTCCCCACCTTGGCATGTCCTGGTGAATCAGGACGGGCTGGCACTCAGGAGATTCAGGAGACCCGCCCTGAGCCCTACCCGCAGGCCTCCGAGCAGGGGTCCTTCACTCACCGGTGATGAAAGCTGTACTTGGAGGTCCTAGTGTTTGGCAGACTCTTAAAGCTGAGAGGGGGGCAGCCTCCAGAAGAGGCCGAGCTGGGCTCTCTGGGTCCTGGAGAAACAAAATGAAAAGGGTCAGCAGAGGATTCTGGGACTGGGGAGAATGGGGGGCCAAGAATGGAGATTTCCATGGGGAAGGTCAGCACCAGAAATTTGTTCTCCAGGTACCAGAGGCCTGTGCCAGGCTGTGCACCATTTCTTGTACTAGATTTCACTTCCTCTTGTAGGAATGAAGGCTTGACTCTAACATACAGGTCACGACAGAAATAGGACAGACCATCTCAAAGCTGGCAGACACACTGTTGGACCTTAGAATGAAGGCTGCACAGTCGAGTGGACTTGAGGGGAGGGATTGCATGACAATGAAAGAGTTTTTCTTTTACTTTTTAAGGAGAAGAGCAAACTGGGGATGGAGGGGTAGGCAGGGAGAAAAATGTAACAATGAATGACTGGAAACCCTAAGTCTCTGTAAACTTTCATTAAAATTATTTTTTAAAAAGTGACATTAGGGGGAGCTCTAGTGGCCTAGTGACAGGAAACTGTACTGCAATCCCAGAGGTACATGGTTCATATCCACCAGATGCTCTTTCGGAGAAGGAGGGACAATTTCCTCCTGTACCAGTCAGATCTGATTTGACGGTACATGCAGAAAAGATAATAATAAAAACAAAATAATAAAAATAATAAAAAAAGTGAAATCAGCACATTCATGCTCTTCTCTGAGCTTCCCCATTTTTATTCCCTGTTAATTTTTTTAGGATCCTAGACGAATTGCACTGGGAAAGTCAGCTGTGAGGGACCTCTCAAGAGTATTGAAGAGCAACGATGTCAGGATGGAGACTAAGGTGTGCCTGATCTAGGCTATAGTCTTCGCAATTATGTGCTATGCATCGGAGAGCTGGACAGTGACTAGGGATGACAGAAAGAGAATTGATGCCTTTGAGCTGTGGTGCTAGAGAAGAGTGTTGAATATACCATGGACTGCTACGAGAACAAACAGGTTTGTCCTGGAGAGGGTGAAGCCAGAATGCTCCTTGGAGTCATGGATTCCGAAGCTTCGTCTGACATCTGAAATACTTTGGGCATGTTGCAAGGAGGGACTGGTCCTTGGAGAGGGACATCATGTTTGGCAGAGTGAAGGGACGGCACAGGAGAGGAAGACCTTCGATGAGACAGATCGATTCTGTGATTGGGGTGGTGGGAATGAGTGTGTCGGAGACGGCGAGGTTGGCACAGGATAGAGCAGGGTTTAGGGCTCTTAAACAAAGGGTCGCTATGAGTCACAAGCGACTCGATGGCACATAACAACAACATGGTTGGAAAAGAATGGCAGAAAAGGGTCAACGCTCCACGTGAGACAAACATGGCGGCAGGAGAATTCCGAGCGTGAGGATCAAGGCTGGACAATCCAGCGAGGGGAGCCCTAATCCCACCTGTGCAGAGAAGCAGCATTTGACCCGAGGGAGCCAGTGTCTCCTCGCAAATACAATGCGTGTTCTGTATGGAGGTGCTAGATGCTCACAACTCCTTGGTTTAAACCTGCTTCCTGAGCACATTCTCTTAATGGGTTTGCCCTCCACACCTCACTCCTCCAAACCAAACACCTTAGGAAATCAGGGCTCTTCTGGGGAGAAGAAAATGAGGTGGCCAGAGCTCACTGTGGGCACCAGAGTCCTCTGTCAGACCAGCACATAGTGATCAGAAGGCCCTGGGTGTGAGGTGGGGAGGGTGTCAGGGCTCAGTGGGAAAGGGCCAGGCGCCCCACGGGTACCCACGGAGAGGGGGTTGCAGGGGATGTCCCGTCTTGGAGCACCAGCCTGCGGGGTGGATGTCTGGGTGGTCTGCGTCGATCCAGAAGTCATAGGCGTGGCTCCAGCCGTCAAAGTGGAGCTGAAGAGGAAAGGTCCTTAGCAGTCAAGGTTCGTGTGGAGCCAAGCTCAGCACAAGCTCCTCCAATCTCCAGAAGGCCCCCAGCCCTGGGGCCCGTCAGAAGCAAGGACTCGCACGAGAAGAACCAAAGGGTTCACCCCACACTCATCCCACTCGGCCACCACACTTTGTAAGAGTTTTACTCAGTAAGTGACTGGCTCTTTAAGTGACCTCCCATCAACCCTTGAGTAGGACAAAGACTGGCCCCATTTTACAGATGTAAGAGGTAAAGCTCTGAAAGGGGAAATGACTAGATCACCCACAAACGCAGCTCAGAGATGAGGCCAGCACGAGTTCTGAGATCTTCAGGCTGCAGTTTAAAGCTCTTTTCCCCCTCAGCGTACTGTCTTCCTCTGTCCGCCTTACGCTGGCCCTTCATCTCCAGCCAGTTTACAAGCTTCCCCCTCCACTGGCCTGTCCACCCCCCTTGCCTCAGGGTCCCAGAGCCACCTTTATTCGGTGATCTTCCACGTCCTCCACACTGGCCACCCGAATCAGGGCAGGATTCCTTCGGTCCACGGCCTCCAGTTTCATGTTGACCAGGAAGTTGTGAGGAGGTCGCTGCAGGCAAACAGTTATCTTGAGGCCAATGCCAAGGTCAAGAGGGAAGGATCTCAAGTGTTGTGTCTGGGGAAAAGGGCCTACTTCAAGTGGGAGCCCAGGGTCTCATTCTAACCGCCTCAGTGCACAACATGCTTCAGGGACACAGGGGGCTGACTCACCACCTTGAAGGCCCATGTGGGCACAGCAGAAGTCCTGGTTTCTTCTAGATACTTCTCCCAACAGAAGCTATCAGGGTCTGGGTAGTCTGGAGGAAAGGATGAGAACTGCTCAGGAACTAGCTGCTGTGAGAGCTCAGGGCGTCTTTGAAGTCCTCGCCCTTTCCTCACCACCAAAGCCAGCTCCTGGCACTGAGCTCCTAAGGGACCAACCAGGATCTAGCAGCTGCCCCGTCCCATCAGTTCTCAGGGCTGTCTGGGAGCCTGCCTTCCATTACCCTACTTCTCGGCCTTGTTGCTCCCCCTGCAGCTCCAACCCCCCAAGAGAGCCCATTACACTCGAGTGGCATAACCCTCCTGTGCAGAAGGGTACACCGATTTTAGCTGTGCAATTCGATTTCCTTGCTAAAACGCTCCAAGTGTTTTCCCTCAAACCTCACCAGGTCCAGAATTTCACAAGACTCTCCTAAAAGAATTCCTTCATGCACGAGATGTTCTCAACTCCTTGACAAAGCAGCTGAGGCTCCAGGGCATATCTGTCCCCTCATCCTAACTCTAAACGTCTAGGTGCTAATGTTTTGTTAAAGGGCCCGAGGTGGGGGCAGGAAAAGGGTGTATCTCTGGGAGCAGGGTCACCTTGTGGAGGCGTGAGGGGTTTTCCTTGCTTCTGGCACCAGCCAACCGGGTGGATGTAAGGGCTGCTGGAGTCACACCTGAAACCCAAGAACACCTCACTGGCCCAGCTGAGACTCTGCGGCCCTGGGCCTACCATCCTGTGGCAGTGAGGCTTCAGGGGTCACCCTCACCTTACTCCTTGGTGAGAGTTAAACTGAGATGGACAGCAAGAAAATGAGACAACCGCAGCTTTAACTGAAAACTTGTAAGGAGGCCATAACAAAGAAGGGAAATTCAGGTGTCACAGGGATTTGTGCATTATAACTTTGTTATTTTAGATGAAGCATTTAATACTTGACTGTGTTTCGTATGACACAGAGTAAATCCACAGGACAGTCAACCACGCCTCCAACTTCCTCATGCAAAATATCAATGTCAGGAATGACTGGACTGGGGCCACCTGGCAGCTGACATTTGAAAGCTGCTCCCCTCGCCTCCCGCACCCCCAGCTCCAGTCTGGGCCCATTCATTACCAGTAATCGTAGGTATCATCCCAGTTATCAAAGTGCACCAGGAAGCGGCCGTCCACCACGTCGGTCACACTGGCCACACAGATGAGGGATGGATTCATGCGGTCAACAGCCTCCAGCTTCATGCCCACCTGGAAGCCCAGGGCTGGGGGACTCTGGGGGCAAGAAGTGGGGCTGCAACTCGAAAGGTTAGATGGGAACATTGGGGGCAATGAGTTATGTTAAAGGGAGAGGAACGATCCAGGAAAGGTGGGCAAGTGCACTCACACAACTAGCAGAATACCATCTACGTCACGGAACCGTACATGTGGAAACATACATGGCTGAACATGTGTAGGTTATGCTGTGTGGACGCTAAATAACAAAATTTTAAAACTATGTTGATAAATGTATACAAAAATAAATATGTTGTTGTTATGTGCCATTGTGGTAAAACTGACTCATAGCTGACCCTCCAGGCAGGTTTTCAGAGGCAGTAAATCTTAACACAGGAGAAGGAGGCCTATCTTTCTCTGACATAGCAGCTGGTGGATTTGAACATCCTGCCTTTGTGTTGGCAGGACAATTGCTCAACCACTAGGCCATCAAAGCTCCTTTTAAAATATATATAAAGTGGTGGGGGTTTTTTTTTAATTATTTTTTTTGTGCATGTACCATCAAATCAGATCTGACTGGTACAGATTGTCCCTCCTTCTCTAGCAAAGCATCTGGTGGATTTGAACCGTGCACCTCTGAGACCGCAGTGCAGCTTCTTGCTACTAGGCCACCAGAGCTCCCCTATATAAAGTTTTTAAAAAGAAGAAGGGTTGCCATAGCTAGTACCAGGCTGGACTCCAGCCCAGAGCTCACCTGCAAAGGCAGAGTGGGTCGGTTGGTGGAAAGGAGGACTCGAGAGGTGGGGCGGTGAGAACAGGCCATGTAGAGTTCCTGTAGGGCTCATAATCCTGTGTCCCTCAGGAACTCATGGCCACTACAGTGGACTCAGAGGAAACCTTACTTGTGACAGAAGCAACTGGTAGGGGGTGTACAGCTCAGGGTAGAGCACTTGACTGCAGAAGTAAGCAGCAGAAAGAAGCTCTCAGACACGAAGCTTCTGACCTCACACAACAGAAGCGCAGAACAAGACAAAACAAGGACCCAAGAACAGTGACATCTCAGGGCCAAACTGAGGGGGCAGACCAAGGGTTATGAGAAGCTTTCCACAGTAGGGATGGAAAGTGAGTACTGAGGGAGGGGGGAACCTATTACTAGGCCCCTGTTCCTGCCGAGCTGGACTCTCACCTGGTAGGAGAGACCATAACAAAGCTGAGAGCATCACCTCATGGCCGAGCCCTCGTCTGATGGGTCAGGCCCCTGGGCTGGGCCATCTGCAATGACTGCCCCAAGGGGCCGATGTCACACTCACTCAGGGGCACTCACGTGGTTCTGGCTGATGAACAGGTGCTTGGGGGCCGCCTGCGCCCTTGTGCTTCGCAAGTACTGGCTCCAGCTGAACTCCTCCTCCCTGTAACCTAGGCCCCTCATGGGGGACAAAGAGAGCACTGTGTAGACACAAGGCTGGGCTGCAGTGAAGGCACCCCACACTCAAGCAGCGGGTCTGAGGGCCCCACAGCACCCCAGAAACCTGCCCAGAAACCCCCTGCAGTAGCAGAAAATGACCCAGTTGGACACTCAAAGGGCAAAATCCAAGAATAAGCTCAACTTGGCCTATCAGTATACAACGGGGGACAGGCTAGCTTTGAATTGGGCAAAACGGACCAGAAAACACGGAACTTGAAGGAGGGGGGACCAAGGATGGGATCTGAGGGCTTGATGCCTCACCACCACCAGCTCGGCCTTACCTTTGGGGGGCTGTAGCTTGTGTCCAGTCTTCTCAAACCAGCCGGCAGGGTGAATGTCAGGAGAGTTGGCATTGATCCAGAAGTCATGGCACTCGGAATACCCATCAAAGTGCAGACGCAGGCGGTAGCCACACACCTGGTCCCGCGAGGGGAATGGCAGGGACTCCAATGCCAGCAGATGCCCCACTCCCCAGGCCTCCCTAGCCCAGGTCAGCCTGGTGGTCTGAGGCACCAGCCTAGCCCTTCCTAACCCAGGTTGGCCTGGTGGTCTGAGGGGCTCTAAAGGCATATATCTACTTTTCCTTAGCCCCCAGATTTCCCTTATCTTGAACTCTGCCTCACTGTTCCCCATTTTACAATGAAGACAGTCCCCAACTGTTCATATGTGAATCCCAAGCTCAAGTGCAAGATTCTCCACGGCAGCCTCCTACTCTCTCTGGCCCTGGACGGAATCCCAAAGGCCTTCTCAGGGCCCCTGATGACCTTTCCTTCTGTTCATGGCCCACACTGTGCTTCCAGTTCACTGAGCTAATGGCAGCCCTCTAAACATAGCGGTCTCTCCCAAGCTCCCCCGCAGAACCCACTTTGCAGCTTCTGCTTGGAATGCCAATTCCAATGTTCATTCCCACCTCCAATCTTCAGACTCTTAAAGGAGGCCTATCTACGAAACTCCACCTACTCCCGTAGGCAGGGCTATCTACTTTCATTCTGTGCCTCCCTGTTCACCTATGTCACCATCCCTGTGGTATACACATCATCAGTGTTGATTCCCAGCATAACTGTGAACTTCCGGAAAGCAAGGATCTTGTGTGGCTCATGCCAACACTCTCAGTACCTGAAATCTCTCCTCCTAGGCTCCACCATCACTAATACATATTAATTCAGTAACATCACCCCATCACACTCCATTTGTCCTTAGTGTTTCCGTTTTCTGTGTGTCCCCAGCTCAATCTTTATTAGACTATGCTTGACAAGGGAAGGACAACGTGCCTCTTATTTGAGTCCATGCTTCCCCTAGTCCCATCAGACCCCAGTATCTATCTATCACCTATCTGATCTGAGGTGATGAAACGTCCGAGAGATGACTGTGGTGTCCCCAGTCCTCAGCTCACCTCGGCCACAGTGAGGATGAAGTACATAGATGGGTGTTGAGGGTCAATGCCTTCCAACTTCATGCCCAGTTTGAAGCCATTCTTGTGATGAGGGACTGTCTGGTACTGTCAACGCACAGATTGAAGAGGACACAGCTTCCATCCTGTCTTATCCTTGCCTAGTGGGCTTAGGGTAAAGGAACCGCCTTCAGGCCTCGCCCGCCTGGGACTATCAAGGGGCTAACTTATTCAAAGACCTTTAAGGCAGGGATGCAGAGAGGGATAGACTAGCTCCTAGATTCCATGAAAAATTAAGTGAATTAAGTTTAAGGATAGGCTTAAGAGCGTCCTCTTTCCCAAGAGCAGTGTACAGCTGAGTAGAAGGTACCAGAATTAAAAGGACACCCAGTGATATACATGAGTCTGGGCTGCATCTCTGTGTTTCTACCCACCCTGAAGGCCCGCGCGGCGTTCCTTTCTCTATTCGGGGACCTTTAACAATCTGCCTCTCTCTAATCTGCCAGTTCAGGAGGGATGTCCGACACAGAAACCCCTAGAAGACCTATGTTGGGTGCTGAGTCCCTGGGCTGGGAGGACAGGTCCTCCCTGGATGGAAAGTGTCCAACTCACGTCCTGGAAGAGGCTGACAGGGGCAGTGATGGCCTTCTGCTCTTCCAAGTAGCACTCCCACGACCAGACGTCCTTCTTCTCACCTGACAAGAGAAGAGAGACAAGCTCACTCACCCTGGGGCTGTTCCCAACTCTCTTATACTCCACAGTGTCCCCTGAGTCCTGTCTTTACTGGCGAGACAGGCCTTTTTAACTCTACTCACATAGTCCTACCCCCTAGTCTTACCCAGTCATGATGGTACCAGAACCGGTAGCCTAGATCTGAGGCCACAGTAGACTCTGTCAGCCTCCCCTCCACCCTTAGGCCACCAGCAAAGACAAGGACTTCCCTCCAGAGCCAGCAGGCAGAAAAAAGCTTCCCTTAGAACTGTTGTTATTGTTATGTGCCATTGAGTCGCTTGAGACTCATAGCAACCCTATGTACAACAGCCCTAA